TCCCTCTCAGAGGGGCGATCGCCGCCTCCGTACACCTGACAAACACCCTCGGGCTCAGCGAGAGGCCGAATGGGAGCACGGTGTATTCGTAACCCACTCCCTGAAAGGCAAACCTCAGAAATTTCCTGTGTGGAGGGTACACGGGAATATGAAAGTATGCGTCCCTCAGGTCGATTGAGGTGAACCAGTCGCTCTGGTGAATCAGACGCAAAAGGGATGAGAGCGTGAGCATTTTGAATCTGTACTTTCTGAGGCATCGGTTCAGGCCCCTCAGATCCAGGATCGGGCGAATCCCGGTCCCTCCCCGCTTCGGGACCAGGAAGTACCTGGAGTAGAAACCGCTCTGAGACCGATCGGGAGGCACAATGCATATCGCTCCCTTCTCCAGCAGGGAGGAGATTTCTTCCTGAAGGATGTGAGCTGATGTCCCCTGGGCGTGGGAGAACACTATGCCGGAGAATCGAGGAGGAACAGAAGCGAATTGGAGCCTGTAACCTCTCGAAATAGTTCTCAGCACCCAACGTGAAGCAGAAACCGCTGTCCATTCCTCCATGTGAGTGGAGAGCGGTGACACAGCCGTGACACACGGAGCAGCAGCTCCCTCCAGAGGTTGTGGGGCAGCGGTGCTCGTGGCAGCCACTGCGCATGCGCGGGGGCTTTGTGCTTTGACGGCCCAGGCGTACGGGGACGACCCGTGGCTGGCGGGAAAGTTCGCCAGGGGCCGCCCCCACCTGGAACCGCTCATGGGTGACATTTTTATTGATTTTTGCTGCGCCCTTGACATCTTGTCTGGATGCGACAGCGCACCTTTTAATGCTCCTTGAGCGTGACATGTTTGCGAAAAACAATGTGAGTGCTTGTGACGTGTGTTTTGAGCCGGCACCACCGGCTGCACGTCCTGGCCCCACCCTGGACCGCTCGGGAACTCTGCCGGAGGGGTTCCGTGAGGGGGGGGAGAAAGCACCATGGCAACATCGAACAGGAGGAGCTGGCGAACGGGGAACCGCCAGCTGCAGCGTCGGGAGGGAAGAACTCAGACAGGCTGCCCTCTTCTTCCTCCTCACCTGCTGACCGCCGTGTCTGGTGGATTGTCCCGGCGGCGGAGCAGCTTGGTTGCCGGATCCCTGAGGCCAAACTGGTCAAGGCGCTGAGCCCGAAGGAGCTGGTTGGACAGCTTGAGGCTTCGGGCGCTTTGGGATCCGGAACTGAGGCTGGGCTCGGGCAGCTGCCTGAGGCAGGTTCGGCCGAGCCGGTAGCGCCGGTGAGGGTTTACGGGGAAGGCAGAGATGAAGGGCTTCATCCTCTTTCTTTTTGGCCACACACCGTTGCTGCATTGATGCCAGGGCAGAGCCAAAAATGCCTTCAGGCACGATTGGCATGTCCAAAATGTCCTCCTTCTCTCTCTCAGAGAGGTTGGTGAGGTTCAGCCATCGTGCACGTTCTTGAAGCACCATCATGCCCATAGCTTCAGCCGTAGCCTGGACCGTGCAGCACTGCACACGCAGGCAGATGTCGGTCAGTACGGTGATTTCCTCCCACACCTCCGGGTCTGGCTTCGTATTCATGTCCTCACAGAGCTCGGCTTGGTACGCCGAGAGCATGGAGGAGACATTCAAAGCTCGGACCGAGATGGCGGCAGCCTTGTACGCCCTCTCGTTCAGCGCCGACTGGAAGCGGTCCGCCTTCGCAGGGAGAGCGGGAGGCCTGGAGGAAGTCGCCGAGAGCCGTGGGTGCAGGTGGGCTGCAACCAGCGTTTCCATCGGCGGCATGCGAAGCATGCCAGCCTTCTCCATCCCTTCGAAGTCCAGCGAGGAGGCTCCTTGGACAGGAGACCTGGAGCTGAACGGGTGTTTGTCCCAGGAGGACCTCACTTCTTGGAGTAGCTCCGGGAAGGCGGCAAGGAGGGGCTTTGCCGCCCTTGTGGCCTGAGGCAGCTTCTTTCCCTCGTAATGGGATCTGACAGCCTCAGTGACCACGGTGGGCCAAGGGATGTTGAGCCTGGTCGCAGCGCATTGGCAGACTGACTGCATGTCCAGGTGGGCGGCCGGAGAAGCCGCTGCATCCCTGGGAGAGGACAGAAAGCTAGGCATGGAGGCCTGAGCGATGGGGAGAAAACTGTCGTCCTCCTCTGAAATGAGGAGTTCCGAGGTGTCCTCGTCGTCTCCGTAGTCCAATTCCAACACGTCCTCGGCGGGGTGGCTCAGACCGGCCAGTTCGAGCTGTGAGCCCCAGCTGAGTTCGGCACACGGTTCCGGCTCCGGGAGGACATGTTCGCTGGCGTCCCCAGGCGGTGGCCCAGGGGCCGGCAGGCAAGGGTCCTTCCCCGACAGGCTAGCTTGGCGCGCTAGCCGCCGGCGAAGGCTCTTCAGGGTGAAGCAAGCACAGCTCTCACATGATCCGGGGACTTCCAATGCCAGCTGGGCGTGTTCCAGCCCGAGGCAGCTCGAGCAGACCCTGTGCGGGTCTTTGCTTGAGATTTTGCTCCCACAGGTACAGAGGCGAGCTCCTGCGCCGTCGACTCCTCTGGTGGGAGGAGCGGCTTCCATGTTGGCTAACTGGTGTGTTAGCACAGAACGAACAGATGCACTGGAGTGTGAAGCGTCTCGTTATGCCCCGAGCCTATGGTGAAGGTCAGGACAGAAGGACGGTAAGTTAACGTTCGGCGACGGAGAGAATATTAAAAGGCTCCGTCTGTGAACAGTTGAGCTAACTTACCTCAGAGATAAGCGACCACCGAAGCGAGAAGAGGTGATTGAATAGTGCGTACGTTGGGACGCTTGCTACTTATAGTAGCAGGGGGACGCGTACGTCACGGTCACTGGCCAATCAGGATTGGCGTATTGAGATAAGTGCTTCTGAGGAATCCGCGGAGGGGTGTATCCCATAGTGAGACATCGAAACGAATGTTAAGAAAGAGAACAACCATCACGTAAGTCTTAACCTGCAACAACTTCATCAGACGCTAACCTGTCAGCCTCTAGTAGAAGCTGACTTCTACACCAGAGAGTCCTCAGACCAGCGGAACTGGCTTCAAGTGACCTTTGAATACCCCAGAAGTCCAACCACTCCTCACTTTTGTCGAGACAGACTTCGATTTGCCAGCTGGATCTCCCAGGAGCTCTCAACATGGGTGTCATAGACCCTACTGGCATTGGATGGGTTATGATTGATTAGTTATCAATCAACATCACTTAATTCAGCCAGAGCATTCTTATAACTCGAGACTTCACATCCTTCCTAAGATCATGTTTAGTTAGTTTGTTATTGTCTCAGTTGATATCATCTTGAATAATCATTTACTTCTATTATTCTGTATAATCAGTAGTCATAGAAATATAGTAAAACATTTTTATAAACTATATTTTCGCTTCTGTGTCAAAATATTGATGTGTTGGTTCCCTGGCTACCCAAAGTTCCCATTTCCAGAGTCAATCAGATATTACAGGTCCAACAATATTACTAATTCATATTTTTTGGAACATTATATTTTGTTTGATACCTTTCCTATTTTATTGACAGTTTGTTAATCGCAACCACTTACAAAACATTATAATGGTTTTTATGACTGCTCTGTCCCCAACACAGAAGTAAGTTTCAGAACCGAGACCACCAGCTTCAGGGAGAGGATAAATGCCTGAAAAAGTAGTTTTCAGAATTTTCAAAGTAAAATTCTAAATTTGCAGTTGATACAGGAAATTGCATGAATGCAGCCAAAAATGAGGTTGGGTTGTTTTTATGACGAAATAACATTATCACACGATATAAAGCTGAAAAAGTGGATTTTCCATGATATAGCCCCTTTAAGTAGAATTTATAATGAAGTTAATGTAGTTATCTAAAACGGCTACTTATACATTTAAATGTTACATAAACTATATTTGATTTATTAAGGGAAGAAAGCTACCCAACCTGAACCAACACAATTTAAAATCATGATTTAAATATGATTCATTTTTACTATCAACCCTTGTCTGAGGAGCAGTGGGTTGCTGTTTGTACAGTGGCTGGGGAAAACCTTCGAAATTCAGCATCTCGCCCAAAGATCCTTAGACACGTGGCCTGTTTGTGCCTGGGATCAGTCAACTGCTCCAATCAGCCAAATTATTAGGAAAATTTAGATGAATTTCAGGAGCTGCGATCAAGTCAAATTACTGCCCGACTTGTAGAATTAAGAAACCATTTAGATAACCCATCTGACAACATGAAAAATGCTAAACAATCTCAAAAAGCAACACATCACACCTCATTTTAAAAAAAATTCTAAAAGAACATTGAAAACGCTGCAGGCCTTGGTAGAAGTCAAGTAACATTAGATTAGTCCACCTTTAGTGGGTTCACTGATGAACCATTTTACTTATTTCTGAAAATGACCAGTCACTCCAACTTTCACACGCAGACTTAACTAACGACTGTGAAAATAATAAAGATGGACAAATCCTCCGTGACATCATTTTTTTGGTTTCTGAGGCTTAAATGTGTAGTTCCAATTACCACCAACACCACTGCCGTGCCACACGTCGACAAAAATGGGCAAACAGGTAGAGCTGAAAGGCAAGCTCTCAGGATCTGAGTCCATTATTCCCAGCTACAAGATAACTTTAGTATTCAAAGTTTGCGGGTACCTTTAGCCAGAAAAACATGGTTGAGAAACTTCAACGTGAAGCACGCATCAACTTACCGAGCAGCCGTTTCTGTGGTCTCCCTCATGAAGCTCCACAAGCAAAAAGCACAGCCTCGGACAACACCAAGCTACCGAAGGCGGGCGCCCAGACTGCATGAGCCCACGCTCCGCTCCTCAGCAGTGGCTGGAAATCCACTGGGGTGGGTTGGCAGAGCCGGGCAGCCACGGCCCGCTCCGATCCAGGGAGACAGTACCAAGTCTCCATTCCCCCCAACTACCAACATGTCATTCAACCAAGCAACCATGCAGCTTGGTTATTTTCCTCAAAATAAGCAAAGAGGAATATAAATGACCCCATTTTAAATAAAACATACAACTCTGGGTTTGTTCTTTGTACGAGCCGTTTTTCTTTTTAGCTCTCAAAATTACAATTTCTAAGCAAACAGACCACCAGGAAAACAAACAGTAAATGTGATGTCACATAAAGCAAGGATGTTATGTTCTCATTTTCAGTACTCGAGCAAACATGGCTTAACAAAGAACATTTAACAACTAAAACTGAACAAAAGGTAAACACTGTAAGAACGAAGCATAGAGTGTACCAAATAAATACAGAATAAACTAAGTCAGAAAGTAAAAGAGGCTACACTAACACCAAACGGCGTGCAAAAACCCATGCCATGTAACATCCGTTTATAAAACACAAAACTAAGATCAACACATCAAACAGGGGCATTATTATGAGTCAAATGTAAACAAAGGAGCGTGTTTTCTGTAAAAATAAAAAAGATCTCTAAATGAATATCTTAAATGTTTAGTTTCAAAGACATCAGATAAATAACTAAAATCACAATAAATGCTCGGAGTTGAGATTCACATTATTATTGCTAACACTAACGTTTCCCACATCCGACAAGTTTGATTCAAAACAAATCTCTCAGGCAGCAAAGCTCTCCGCCATGTGGCTGGAAGGCACCGATCGATGGAGAGTAAGTCCTCTGGCTCTTTGCTCTTGAATGTCAGGAACAAAACCATCAGTCTTAGGGATCTCCTCAGGACTGACTCTTCCCTGTCCACTTGTTCGTCATGGGAAAAGTCCGTTTTAGTATCAGCCTTGCAGTTCCAATGAAAGGATGATGCTGTGCTAGCAGGGAGGATGTTTAAGAGTTTGTGATTCTTTGTCTTCAAAAGTCAAACGTGTCTAAAAATCCTCCTCACAAAGATGTAGGGGAGCTCAGAGCTCATCGTGGTTCTTAGTCAGGTCCTCTCCGTAGTTGGTGGCCTGACTTCCTACAAACATGTTCCAGTTCTCAAGGATCTCCTCTTTAGTCAGCTTCTGATCCTGTAAGGATAAAAGAGGTGAAAAGAAATCAGGAACTTTATTAGAACGTGAGACAGATGACAATCACCCCAGCTTTTCACCGCACGCAAAATCATCCGTGAAGCATCTTACACAGCTAACAGACGTAGCAATGTGTGTGTATCCACCAGGCATGGAGTGGCGTGTCTTCGATGAATCATTCAGCTAAATTTAAATGTTGGGTCCATTTTTTTTTTTTTTTTTTTTATTTTACACAGTGCACTTTCAGAATATGTCAGGAGCAGCAGTTTAGATCGGGCCAGACAGGAAATCAAACATGGTAGCAAATTAAGACTTTCTAGAACTCTGGCAACTTTCAAAATAAAAGTGCAGATTTCCAGTTGCTTAACTAGTAAAACTGCCAGCTGCCACTTTTGTTGCCGATTCATGTCTGAAACGCTTCTGGTGGTAAGGTATGCAACGCTAAGCTCGTGGGGGATTATGAGCTTATTATGTTACGCGCCAATTACGAATCCGGTGGAAAGCCGGACCAAAAAAATGGAAGTATGAAAAAAAAATCATGAACAGTGTAGACAAGATCTCCAAGTGAAGGGTCTCACCTTGTCAGAGTCCGACTCGTACACGAGATGTCTGGCCTCAGCCTGGGCATGGTCGTAGTCCTGAGGCATAATCCACTGGCGGATTTCATCCTGGTCCATTTTCCCATCTTTGTTCAAGTCTCTGAAGTCAGAGAATTGCTCCCTCTCCGTCTTTACCCAATCTGGTTCCGGACCTCCATCCTCATGTGCAAACATGTCAGCTTCAAACAGAACATTCTCATTTTAATTTGTAAAACTTGTGAGGCAACTTTTAAATGTAATATAATTTTTACAGCTCTGTGACAAATACGTGATTATTCAAACCAATTTGCAGATTACATCACAGCTACCAGAAGCCTTCAAACCTACTACTGACTTCCCTGTAAGTCGTTTACTTAATTTGATTTAATTTCCATTAATTTGCAGACTCACCAATGTACTCATCCTCGTCCACATGCCCATCGCCGTTCTTGTCAATGTCCTCCAGAGTTTCCTGCATTCACAACGAGTTAACGACGAGATTAAAAAAGGGAGACACAAGGGTCAAGTGTAGCTGAGCTTTCACTGCAAGGACCCAAAGAGAAACTTCTAGCCCGGGGCTGTAAGTGAATGAATGTGTGACGGTGGACATGCAGCCGAGTTGGCAGACTTAACACAACAATTACAGCATTGCTGATGAGAGCTAAACCCTTGGTAATAAAAGACCAACAACATTTTTCAGCAAATAGTTGGCGAAGACTGGACATTTTTCTCATTATCCCCTTTGACTTGATTTAAGTGGTCACATTAATTTATTTCCTAGAACAGAGGTATTCAAGTCAGGGGGCCGGTGTCCAGCACAGTATAGTTTTTTTTTTCCAATCAGCAGGTGATTAACAGGCTTCGGCAGAGCCTGATGAGCTTCTGTACAGGTGACTCAACCACTGAATCTAGAAGGGATGTGTATTGGTGACATTCAGGTGATAAGATATGTATAACGATACAGGGGCGACGGCACGTTGCATCACAATATATTGGGATACATTCAGCCAGACGATGAGCCATTTTTAGACTGAAATTATTGTAGGAAAATTCAATAAACAGTCCAAACTGATGAGTAACATGTTTAACATGATATCTGAACCATAGCAGAAGGATTTACGTTTCAGTGGAGGAAACAAAACCCATTGCACACTGCTGCCAACTAGCGGTCAGCTATTGAATTGCACCAAAAAATAAAAATATATAAGAAAATACAAATTTTTCATGTAAATTCTTTAAAACATTTGATACACAGCTTTTAAATATTGATATAATATCGCAGGAAAAAAATATCGCAATATATTGCCATATTGATATTTTCATACATCCCTAGAATCGTGTTTGAGCAGAAAAAAACCCCCACCAAAACATGGTGGACACTGGCCCTCTAGGCCCGGAATTGAATGCCCCTGTCCCAGAAGAAAACAAATGCATGCTTACAGTAATGGTTCTGTTTGGGAAATACGCCTGCATGCAGCAACATGTGGTCTTGTTGGAGAACATATTCTTCTGCATTCTGCCCACAGAATGGCTATCACCACAACCACAGTGGCTACGGGTACAGCCAGTGTGCTATGAGCATAGCAGTTGACTGCTATGACCACAGCTATTGTTCTATGGGCAGAACACCACACAGCCACATTAGCGTAATGATGGAGCATGAGTTCGAATACACCAAAGACATTCATTAAACATGAAATATGAACAAAGTTTCAAATATGAACACATTTTTCAAGTATTGTACTTATAAACTGCCAAAACACTTAAGTGTTGATTTATCAAAAAACCTTTAACGTAAAGGAGTCCATCCAGGCAGTGGGTGATGTCACAGCAATTCATAGCTATAGCCACTGGATGTTCTCATAGCTACGGGATAGCAGCCACGGCCATTTGTGGCTACGGGCACACCCTCGTGGCTGTGGCTACAATCGGAGCTTGGCCTGCCTCCTTAAGATTTCATTTCAAGATCCTGGTTCTGGTCTATAGGGCCTTACATGGACAAGCGCCATCATACATTGGTGGCTTTCTCAGTCCTTACACCACCAGCAGGTCCCTGAGGTCCAGTGATCAAAGCCTACTGGTTGTGCAGCACCAGGCTACAGACCAAAGGTGACAGATCATTTGCTGCTGTGGCCCCCAGACTCTGGAACTCTCTCCCCCTGAGCCTGAGATCAATGGACTCAGTGGTCTCCTTTAAAAAGCAGCTGAAATCTCACTTGTTCAGGCTTGATTTGGTGTGACCTCCATCACCTTCTCCTTATTCTGCTCTCCCCACCTATTCCACCTTCCTCAGGATCCACTAATTTCCCCCTTTCCTATTCACTCTCTATCTTTAAATATTTTAATCACAATTGTCTTTTTTTTTTGCTCATTTTAAATGTATTTTAATCAATTTCTAAATTATTTTTTATATTTTACATTTGTTTTTGTGAAGCGCCTCGTGATTTTTATCTTGAGAGGCGCTATAGAAAAGATATTTTATTCTTCTTCTACGGATGTAGCCAACACTTGTCAGCAAAGGTAAAACCAAATCTCTACTACTGTGTTCAGAAAAGAACCATATAATGAAATTAGATAACCAACACTGAACGAACCTAACAAAAGGTGTAAACAAACACGTCTACCAATTTTTTAACTCCATTAGACTGTTGTAAACTTAGCTTCCTGTACGGAGGAAGCTCGTTAAAATGGATCAACACAGTGGATTTAATACGAGTTTTAAGGAACTAACTGGGTGGAGTGAGGGGAGATTGAGAAAATACGGAGCATTAACAGTCAAACACAACTACACTCACCAGCACTCATCTGTGCGAGTGCGACAGCTGGAGGGCTGAGCAAATAACCTGTAAGATTATTCAAATCATCATGCTAGATCAGCCTCTCTCGTCGTGGTGGCAGACACCGGTTTCTGCCCACAAGGAGCTGATACATGAATAAATAAATGTAATAACGATCATAATAAATCTCACAACACACAAAGTTGTGAGATTATTTTATTGAACTATTTAGTTTGTTGAGAGATGTAATATTTTAAATCCTTTACTGACAGCAGCAACATTTAAGCTTCAGTCTCCCTTTTGACTGAATCGTTGCTGCAGCATGTAGATGTAGATTCTCAGTCATCCTGGACAAGATCGTCTCTCACCCCGGGTTTCCACGGGAGCCGTCAGCAGCACGTTACTGCAGCAGCACATCTTGCTCGCGTAAGCTGCTGCTTGGCCCTTCCCACGAGACGCGAAGCAGCAGGGGAGCAGCTGTCACCGACCGAGCACGAAGTCACACGAGTGACTTTGTCAGTAAACACAACAACAAGCAGGAGAAAACTACAACATGGTTTGTGTTTTATGTTCTGTCCGTTTTATAATTGCCAATACGGACCTGAAAAACAAAGGAGACCGCTAGCTAGGTGGTAACTTCTCACGGGGCCACACAGTTAGTAACTTTTTTTAAAAGTAAAGCAACCGGAAGGCAGTACGTTCTTTATTCTGAAAATCGCGGGAGCTTCTCTCCATTTCCGCGTCCGATTTCCTGTCTTTCCTTCCCCAAAAATGTCGAACTTGACCCGTTTCAGAGGCGTCGCGCGTAGAAAATAGAACCGGCGCGTAAAGGCCGCGACATGCTGCTCCTGAGACGCGGCCGACTCGCGCTGCTGACGGCTCCGGTGGAAAAGGTAAGAGTTTTAACTGAAATCAGCTAGACCTTTCTGGTTATCTTGATGTTTTGCCTTTCATCCTAGAGGCTTCTTCAGCTCCCATACAGTGGTTGAGTAGGAGGCTTGTGAGTTGTGCTGCAAGTCTTTTCTTTCTTTCTTGACACAAGTTTTATCTAAATAAAGGCGACGTTATTGTTCATAGAACTGCAATTCATGTTGAAGTTTGGATTGGTCAGCTGGTTCATTTAAAACATCTAAAGTTAACTCTAACCTTTAAAAGAATCTGAATCGCTCAAATTCAAATAATGCCCAACCCTAACAATGATGGTTTTGGATAAAAAGCTTTTAAATGTTGCTCACGAGCCAGATTTCTGCATTTTTACCAGATGCATGTGACTGAGCACCAATTAACCAACAGAATAATGCACCTTATCACATATCAAAAAGAGCTTGCGTCTAAACGAGAGCACACAGAAGCTAAAGGCCAGACGTTAAAACAGAATTCTGTTATGTGAACATGTGTGTGTGTGTGTGTGTGTGTGTGTGTGTATAGTTGGCACTTAGCAGGACCACTTCATGTTCCTGCTAGAACTTACACAACAAGCTGCATCTTTTTAGTGGTTCCCTATTGTTTCCCACAATGGTGACACACACAATTAACAGCTTGTTTTTGCATCAAGGATGAAATATTATGGATAATGTGGAAAATGGATGACACGTATTTCAGATTTAGGCTTTTTGATCTGGCACTGTTCAGCAAAACCAACAACTGAGCAGTTCTTTGGTAACATCCAGCGACAACATAGACATGAGATTAATAATTAACTCTGCCAAATGGGTGGTACAACTTTTATGAACACAGCAGCGTAGTGCATCTCGTTTGCCACGCCACTGTTCCACAAAACCAAATTTATATTTAAAGATCGAGTCTTAAATGGGCTAGTCAGCTCATCCCATCGGACTTGCTCCAGAAAAATGCAGAATCTATCATTTCTGGAACCAGTTAGTTTCATAGGGAGGATGTCCAAATGCAGAACAACCGTTGAGGAGGAGGGACTACACTTAAATCTGTTCCTTTAACCAAAATCTGTTACTGAAAAGACATTTTACACGAGTAATGTTAGGAGACCCTTCAGAGGCTTACCAGCACCACTATAGCCTTCATGTGTTCAAACTCCTCAGGGTGGAGGAAGGCCATGAACTCCTCCCTGTCTGCTGCCAAGTCCCCGTTCAGATCAGCTTCTTTAAACCTCCTCTCGTCTCGAGGAAGCATCTTCTTGAAGCTGAACTGATCTTTGTCGTCCTCAAACTCTTCCGGGTTAGCTGAGGAAGGTAGAATAAAACCAGGTTACTAAGAGGCTTCTCTGACGCAACAACAAAAATAGAGACTGAGAGGCGTAGTAGTAGATACCCAGATAGTATCCATACGTAGCTTGCTTGTACTCATCCCACGAGATCTTGTTGTCTTTGTTCAGATCGTAGTCCGTCCACACCTTCGCTACATTCTCATAGACGTAACGCTTCTGTACCCGTTTAATCCAAGCCTTGAGCTCGGCTGTCGTGATGAAGCCATCTGCGTCTCCGTCTATTCGGTCTATGATTTTTCTAAGTGGGAGAAGAGAAAAGAATAACATGTTTTTCCTTGCACAAAGGGTAAGGTGTCAGTAAAGTGTCAGATTTGCCATACGACTACGATTTGGGCAAAGTGGCATCAATGAGAAGACTCCTGGAGGAGGAGGAGGAGCAGACAACCCGGGTTTAGTAAAATCAGCAGTGTGGTGTATTCTTGGACTTGTGCTGCCACGTTGAGACATCTCAGGGTTCCTCCCAACCCTCAAAGAAGGAAGGAGGAAAACCCAACATGTGGCAAAAGGTGCCAACTTGTCACTGAATTCTGGGACAGCTGGTGTGCAGCTCTGTCATTACCGTTTACAACACGTCTCTGTTTGAATTGGCCTCAGATCATTTTGAGCATGTACATCTTTCTGAAGCACGGGTTTAGTTTAATTGTAACCTGTTACAAGCAGGAGTAAGCTAGTTTATAACAACAGCACAGCAGCAGGATTAGCTGCCCTGTGTCAGAGCAGAAGAGCTGTGGAGGTCTCGTTTCTTACCCAAGTCTGTCTTTGCTCTCCTCCGGGGTGAGTTGGTCAAACGTCTTGGCCTCCTCTTTGCCCAGAAAAGCCTCATGGTCGTACTGGTAGCTCTTGTTGTCTTCGTGGGCTTGCCGGACCAACTCTGGGTCTTGATAGAGAACTCTCTCTTTCCGTAGCGTCGGCTTCGCGTGTGCCGAAGAGGCGCAGAGAAGCGCAGCGCACATCAAGAAGAAGCTGAAGCCAGCCATCAGTCTGAGGCGGAGGCTGACCTCTGACCAGCTAACCCAAAACAGGCCTACAACAATGAATGCAACAGCTAGCAAGAGACAAAGGTAGCCGCTTCCTCCTCTCGGGCGTGCTTTGCGTTGTTATTCAGCAGCGTGGTCCGAACACCAGAACTGAAACAAGCACCTTACTCTAAAATAAGTCCCTGAAACACCTCCAGTCCAGTACGACCCACAGTTTGAAGAAATCCTGTCCCATTTCCTGAGGGAAGGACGCAACCACGTAGAGCGCGCCTGCCACTTTACGTACAGCCAATCACAGCGTCCGTTTTAATACTCGGCGCACCCTTATCCAATTGCAGGATCGCTACTGTTGGTCTGGAGGGTTTGCGGAACATCAAAGTAATTCAGGCGCCACGTTGCAAGCCGACTGATGCTGGAGAGCGGCTCAGAGCATCCTGGGCTGTGTGACAACGTGTCGGAATGAAATTTTTGTGGATTCATTCACGTGATGTAAAAACAGAGATTCTCAAGTTCCTGATCCCTAATTACTGCTCCCCCAAGAGGTTCCTGCCACCTGATGCGTGCTTTTATTATTGGAGGCAACACTTAGCAAAATTATTATCCCTCTTTTAGAACAAAACGGAGAAACTGAATAAAATGTAAAGATTTATTAAATCATTCACATTGTTTTTTTCTCATTTATTTAATTCAAAATCAAAACAAATAAAACAAACAATAAGAAAAACATAACAAAAAATCTAATTTGAACGAAAAGGAGCAGAATGAAGAAAAACATCTTATAATTTCTGCCCCCTTTTCCAGTAGAAATAATCAATTTATATATAATTACCATTTGTCAGGCACAGATTCATTTTAAACTTTTTCCTGTTCTAAATTCCAGAGCGATCATGATCATTGATTTAATTTACATTTTCATAATTATTTAGTACACTCAATTTGGTACATTTTATGAATATATTATGACAGAGTTTTTTTAATTTCCCTTTTAAGGTATTCCATAATTTAACACCATTTACAGATATATTCCACTCCTTAATTTTAGTTCTAAATCTAGGTTTTGTAAACACATCAGTTTCTTTCAGCATGTAATTACTAGTTCTCTTTTCAAATATCCCCTGAATGTTTGTTTGCAGAGTACCTAAATTGGCTTTATACATGGTTTGTATGATTTTCCAGTCTTTTAAATCGTGAAATTTCAGTAATTTATATTTAATAAACAATGGGTTTGATGGATCGCTACAGCCACTATAATTGATGATTCTCAGAGCTCTTTTCTGTAAAATAAATAAGGGCCGTGTATAGTTTTTGTATGTTGCTCCCCAGATTTCTACACAATAAGTCAAGTATGGAACAATCAGTGAATTGTACAATGCCAACAAACCAGAATTAGTCAGTAAAAACTTTACTCTATGCAAGAGCAAGAGCTACAATTATTGGGTTTTCCATGACAAGTCTTCATCAATAAGAACTCCAAGAAATTTAGTTTCTTTTACTCTTTGAATTGCAATCCCATCTATTTCCAATGACACATCACTGTTCTTTTTATCATTAAACAATATAAAATTTGTTTTATTAAGATTCAGTATCTATCTATTTATATCAAACCATTTTTTAATTTTAATCAGTTCATCATTTCCTAAATGAATAAACATAAACATAAACACTTTAGCCACCTCCTCAATATTTGATCCTGAGTAAAACAGTGCTGTATCATCTGCAAATAGAATGGTACCGAGTGTCTTAGATACAATACCAAGTTGTTAATAAACAAAATGAACAGTTTTGGTCTGAGGACCGACCCTTGTGGCACTCCACAATTAATTTCACAAAGGTTTGATTTACGGTCCTTTGTCTGAACAAACTGTTTCCTTTTTTTAAAATAAGTTGTAGCCCATTGATGAGCCACACCTCTTATACTGACTTAATTTTCGAAGTAACCTTGAGTGACCAATGACGTCAAAAGCTTTTTTTCAAATCAATGAAAACACTAACAAAGTCATTTTTATTGTCAATTGCTGTTGATATTTTATCCGTTAATTCCATTATTGCCATTGCTGTGGAATGTTTAGTTCTAAACCCATATTGTTCATTGTTTAAAATATTATTTTTTCGATGAATTTATCCAACCTTGATACAATTACTTTTTCCAATATTTTAGAAAACTGTGGAAGCAGTGACACCGGCCTGTAATTATTGAAACTATGTTTATCACCACTCTTGTACAAAGGAATGACTTTCGCTGTTTTCATTGCGTCAGGAAAATTTCCAGTATAGTGATAGATTACAAATGTAAGTGAATGGTTCAATGGCAGATTCTATGATGATTTTAACAGTTATCATGTCCAGGTCCTGATAATCGGTTGATAGTTTGTTTCCACAGTTTTTTACAATGTTTCATATTTTTTCTCTGTCTACTTTGTCAAGGACAATACTATTGACAGTACTAATCATTGTGGTCAATTTATCTTCTATTATTGGTTTGTTCTCCATCAAACTCCTACCTACATTTACCAAAAAAAAAAAATCATTAAACTCATCAGTGATTTCTTTATCATCATAAATATCTTTTTTGTCCTTGACAAAGTGATTTGGAATACTGTATTTTGTTCTCTCTATTAGTCACACTGTTTATTATTCCCCAAGTAGCTTTTGTGTTATTTTTATTCTGATTCAATAGATTACCATAATAATCTTTTTTTGCTTCCTAATTATTGTTACCAATTTATTTTTATATTTTTATACCGATCTTCTGCTTCCCTTGTTTGCAATTAAAAAAAACTCCTATATAAATTATTATTTTTTGCACACGCATTCTTTAATCCCTTAGTCATCCAAGGTTGATTTTCCCTTTTACCTGTAGATTTGATTAATTTGCAGTTATCATTATATAGTGGTGTGCATCTCTACCTGCCTCACGATTCGATCCGATTCCGATTATCTGCCTAACGATTCGATTTGAGTCTGAAATGTATCACGATTCTTCACACAAAAATTTTCATTACTTAATAAAAGCAGTAGAATAGTTTTCAATTTCTTTTTGATTTCGAAATCCCTGAAAAACAGAACATACATCTATTCACTATAGTGAGCAATAATTTTTAAAGTGTGCTGCCTATAATTACTTAAATAATATAAGAAATAATGTTTTCGGTATAGCTTTAAGATAGATTATTACTGAACTTAAAAATAGTAAACAAACACTGTGTTAAGTGATTCTTTCACATCCAGGATCCCAAAACCGATATTAGCCCAGACATCCGATTTAAATGTAACGGGTACATCTTTGATTACTGGTAATGTTGGCCCTGTATCCCTGTAGTGCGCATGTCATTGCAACTCTGCCCCCAGAAGTAATTATAAAACCTCAATACTTTATTGTCCTGCATAGACATAGACCAGGAGTCGGCAACCTGTTCCCATCAAAGAGCCATTATTACCCGTTTCCCACAGTAAAGAAAACATGGGAGCCACAGCAGCCGCGGCGTTGTGGGCGGGGCCTACCCTCAGACAGCAGAGCGCTGCTCACAACAGGTGACAACAGCCGGTACTGGTCGCTCGTGTACGTCAAAATTATCTTTCATAAGAAGATAATCAATAAAATGATTTATATAAAGTGGATCCAGAAGTTGTAGCCCGTCTCTGCCTACAATATTTTGATATTTTTCACCCTGTTGGTGGTTTTACTGAGCAGGTGCCACTTTTGTCATATGTTTCTTTTTAAAACATGTTTAGACTGTTCAGAATACAAATCCAGGCTCTGTCACATTTGATTGTTGTAATTAAACTTTGTAGGTGGGGAAGGTCAGAAAAGGATCCGATCAATTTGTTTTTGCCTCTACAGTGACGGAGACAACGGCGCAGTGCGCCTGGCTCTGGTGTTAATCAAGTTTAATTTTATCTATTTTCAACAATTTTCACAAGAAAACAGAACAGTAAAAAGCAGGGCTTGTGTTGACCGGATAGTTCCCGTATTTGGCCATTTATTTTGACAGAGAAAGAATAGAAAGAATTACCTCGACGCATGCAGACGAACTGACACTTTATTCGTTTCGTGCAGATGTAGCTAAATCACTCAAGAAATGATTCCCATCTGAGCTGGACACTGCTCAGCGCAGCTCACTGTCAGCGTGTACTACATAAGGTGCACAGTGAGCTGAAGATGTGGAGAGGGGCTTGGAGCATGTCGCAGAACCAGAGCGCATGCAGGAAGATTCCTCCGGCTGAAGCGAGACTTGTCACTTAGAAAATGTTCCCTGATTATGAAACTTTGGCTGAATAGTGCTTGTTCCCGTCTCCAATGTGGCGACACATCCAGGATCCTGTCTGAGGAGAATCCCAGAATCCCACATCCTCGTCAGCTCAGAATGCGCCGATATGATTACGCACAAGCGTGACCCATCAACCCGGTTTCACAGTAAGACCAGGTTGGAACTGTTCAGGTTTACGCAATCTTTACATTTAGAATTGGCATACAGATGTAAAATTAATGCAGTAAAATATAAAGCATTTTATTTAAATATCCATTCATTATTTTACAAGCACAGAGAGCCGCATCAGATGGATAGAAGAGCAGCATACGGCTCCAGAGCCGCGGTTGCTGACCCCCGACACAGACATAGGGAGAGAGAAAATCTCATTATGTCACGTTGCTGCATCGATGCGGAATCATGCACGGCTGAATCGCGATGCATCTTAGAATCGATCATGTTTCCCACCTCTATCATTGTATGACTTCAACAGTATTTTCATGAAGGATGTGTATGCAGCGTTGACATCACTGACGTATACCTCCTTCCAATTTTGTTTATTAAGATCTTTGTTTAATGCCTCCATGGCTTTAACTGATTTCTCTCTTCTGTAGTTCATGGTGATGTTTTGTTTTATTTAATGTTTGTATTTGAAGACTGCAAAAACAGGTAGGTGGTCACTAATATCCATCATTAATATCCCTGTTTTCCTGACATCATCCTTATTGTTAGTGAATATATTATCAATGATTGTTGCAGTCCGAGATGTAATTCTGGTTGGTTTGTTTATCAAGGGAAATAAACCTACACTATACAGTGAATCAGCAAAATCCTCAGTTATCTGTCCAGCCTCATGTTCTAAATTAATATTAAAGTCCCCACATAGAAATAATGTTTTGTATTTAATGTTATCAACCAATTCAATAATTTTTTCATTAAATGTCCCAATACATGATCCTGGTGCTCTATAAACACAACTAATTAAAGTATTTTTAGCAGCTTCATTGCTGATTTCTACCGTTACAATTTCCATAACATTATCTTCCATCATTGTCATTTCCTTAACTAGTTTACATTTTAGATCTGATTTAATGTACAGGGCAACCCCACCACCTCTTTTATTTTCTCTATTTACAAAATAAAGTTCATACCCTTCCATTTGTACTTCATCCATCATGTCATCTTTGAGCCAAGTCTCTGTTATAGCAATCACACACAATTTGTGTTTGAATTTATTTAAATAATCTTTGATAATTAATAACTCAGGAAATAAGCTTCTACTATTAATGTGGATAAGTGACATTGTGTCCTTAGTCATTCTCCCACAGTTCAAGTGTTCTTCTCAATATAATCACAACTTATGTTTAATTCATATAAATTTCCATCTATTTTATTGTCAATATCATATATTTTATCATCTGTATCCATTTCAGTTGTGTGATTTTTGCCAGTTTGAATCAAGACCAATATCAAACCGAGTTATCCATGTTGTTTTTACAGTATCCAAAATAAGTTTGGAAGCAAAAATTCTGATGATCTTAACTATAGTTTGTAAACTTGTTTTATATACTCATTTATCACTTGTTATTTATTATCTAGTTCTGTTAGTTCCTTAATGATCAGAATCTTTGCCTGCTCCGGAGACCCATTCAGTTTAATGAATACCTTACAGTTTGAAGTCCATGTTGACTGTATTTTCTTTTGCTTTCTCAGAAGTCTTGCTTGCCTTGCAATGTCTGCATTTTTCTTGATTAGGTGTTAATTCATTGGTTCCCTTCAGCTTCCTTCCTTGTTTAAGCAGTTCTTTCTTGTGTTTTCTGTTCATAAATCTGATAAGGATTGCAGGTTTCTGATTTTTATTTTTACGTGGAAGAGGATGACATCCCTCTATGTCCTTGGCCTCTAGATGTATCCCTTTGCTACCAAGGAAGTCCATTCCCTGCCTTTCTAAGTTGTTTAATTCTTGTTCAGGTGGTTCTCCACTCTCTGTAGCTGTTGCTTTTGCATACGTTTGGTGTGTTGTTTCAAGTCCTGTCACTATTACATCATTTATTATTGAATATTGTTCCAGTTCTGACACTCTTTCTTCCAGTAAGGTGATTTTCCTGTCCTCTTCCTCGTTTTTTATTCTTAGGACTTTAACCTCCTCCACTAATTCCATTATCTCTTTCTGTTGTTTAGAGACAGTTGTAATTTCTTCTGACATAAAGCTCAGTGATTCCTTTATCTCTTCCAGTTTCTCCTCAGCAACATTGTTTCTTTTTGGAGGCATTGTTACTGACTCACCCCAGTAGAGCCTGGTCTGGTAGCTGGAGCAGCACCTGGGCCTGGTAGCTGGAGCAGAACCTGGGCCTGGTAGCTGGAGCAGGGCTGGGCCTAGCTGGAGCAGCACCTGGGCGTGGTAGCTGGAGCAGCACCTGGGCCTGGTAGCTGGAGCAGAACCTGGGTCTGGTAGCTGGAGCAGAACCTGGGTCTGGTAGCTGGAGCAGAACCTGGGCCTGGTAGCTGGAGCAGAACCTGGGTCTGGTAGCTGGAGCAGCACCTGGGCCTGGTAGCTGGAGCAGAAACTTCCCAGTTCAGGCAGGTAAAATTCTGTATCCTGCAAATATTTGAAATTGTGAAAGTGCTTTGGCTGTTTTTTATTTATTTAAATAAAGTAAATGCAAGCAGAAATAAGTCCATCTGAATCATTTATTCCTCACTAGCATCTTCGCTGGTGCCCATCTCCAGCAGTAATCTGGCGAGAAGCTGGGGACACCCTGGACAGGGAGCCACACTCACCCACACCAAGTGTCTCCAGTCAGGCTGACGTGTATTGTTGTGGAAGGAAGAGCACACTGAGAAAATCCATGCATGTAAGCTAACTGTGTGAGGAGAACATGCACAGAATTTAAACCTGCAACTGCAAGGAAACTGTGCTACAACCTACTCCACCATACAGCCCAAAATATAACTGGAATACACATGTTCTTTTTTAAAATGGTGAAAAATTATGGATAAAGTTGTAATATTTTGGTTTTATTTTTAGAAATTGTTTTCTTCAACCGCTTCGAAAACTAAAGTATTTTTTAAAGAAATTAATACATAATACAGAAGATAAACATGGATCCTGCTTTCTGTGAACAACACTTTTGTACTCTTGCTTCAGGGGGTAGAAGCTGGGGGAGTGGGGAATGGGAGATGGAAAATGAAAGAATTATAAGTCTTATTCATTAATATTTATGATATACAAAACTTTTGCCTCTGACTGGCTAAGAGCAACGCAACTCCCAACCAGCTCCCAGTTTTAGTCCGTGAGGCAGACACCTGGCCTACTTTTAAGACTAGACTTAAAGCATTTTTATTTGACAGGGTCTATGGTTAAAATCTGATGTCAGTCCAGATCTGGACAAGTGGGTGAGTAGAGGGAGGTGGAGTGTACAGTGGAGAATACAGTCGGTAAAGACGGCTCTCACTTGCCCTGCCTCCAACATGCCTCCATCTAAAAGGCTAGGTTATCCAGAGTTATCTCTGTAGTTATGCTGCTATAGGCTTAGACTGCTGGAGAACACATTGACCTCTTTCCACACTCGACTACTTTCTTCTACAATCTGCTCTTTAACTGCATTATTTCCTGCTATTTCAGCTGTTAAATTTATTTTTTCTCTAAGTGTTTTTCTCCCCAGAAGAAGCTACAATGATGATCTGCTGAGCTGTGGTGGCCTCGTGGTGGGGGCCATCGGCTAGCACACTGCTGCTATCCCTCTCCTGATAACAGTTTACTTTGTTTGACATTGACTGTGCTACTACTAGTTTACCCATTGAATTAACTATTGATTCACTAGGATAAATACAATAAAGTTTATCTCTTAGTTAATAAAATATTTACTAAGAAATCACAATGTAACCATAGAAATACTACTTGGAGCATGTGTGTGTGTGTGTGTGTGTGTGTGTGTGTGTGTGTGTGTGTGTGTGTGTGTGTGTGTGTGTGTGTGTGTGTGTGTGTGTGTGTGTGTGTGTGTGTGTGTGTGTGTGTGTGTGTGTGTGTGTGTGTGTGTGTGTGTGCTCTGTCTTCTCGATCCCCAGTGAGTCGTGGTGGACAGCTGCTTATACTGAGCCAGGATCCTCTGGAGGTTTCTTCCTGTTAAAAGGGAGTTTTCCTATCCACTGTCGCTACATGCTTGATTAGTATGAGGACTGCTGTAAAGACACTGACACTTGAACTTGAACTCTTCTGTTGCCTTCATTAGCAAAACTCACAACACATTCTCTTGGGTAAGAAATGCAATATTGATGTGTGGTCATATCGGTATTAGCTTCGTGCCCCGTTACAAATAACCCAAGACCAAACATGATCTATTTCATATAGACTTCACCCTTTAAGCTGGATTTGCCGATTCTCAGGTTAGCCACTTACTGAAGAGCTTTTAATATACGCCCGCCTACCCTGGTCTGGTATAAAAGAACGCAAGCCCATCATTCGTCTCCCGATTTCTCTTCATGACAAGAGCTAATTATCCTCTTACTCACCCAGCAACACGGTCCAGGTGTACGCTCCAGCCAAATGGACTACATCATGAGGGGCAACCTCTATGCCAAATGCGAAGCCTACTGCACACTGGAAGCATCAACCGCGTGGACTGTCATTGCTTCATAAAGAATCCATTATAGTTTATGGGGCTGAATCAAAAAGCCGCAACAATTTTCAGGCGTGTCCCAGAAGATAAGAGCGGGTTCAGTTTTTGCCGTGAGCCACTGTTTATGCATGTTACTAAGTCGCCAATATTTTTCATCAACTGGACATCATTTAATTTATTTTCAACAACATTTCAATGGATATTTCCATTAATTAAAGTATCTTTCCGGAGTTTTCTACTTTCAGAAATTATGTATGGTTTTTCAGAAATCTGTAAAAGTGATTATCTTATCATGTATACATGATTACATTATACTGTGATATAATGTAAGCAATACGTCATTTTTTTTTGTTAAGCACGCCCCCGCCCCGCAGAGCTCCGTGCAATAAGAAACTGAGTGCAGACCAGAAGTAACCAATAGCGTTAGACTACCGCTTAGATGCTTCTAATTTAAGGAATACCGCGGCTGATGCAGAGTTGATGAAATTTTCACGGACAAGAAAGTCTTTAAAATATAAATGTATGAATACACATCATGACATGAGAATAATACTCGTAAAACAGCATGTTTTAGCTCTGTTTGTCACTACAGAAGCACATTTATAAACAAGAAACGTGAAGTCGCCATCTTAAAAAAACAGAGCAATAGACTTTTTGTGTGATATGCTTGTCAGCCACTAGATGGTGCCATCGGATAAGAGAAATACTCCAGAAAGAGACTTTAATACACATTGTCTCTTTATAGAGACTGATATTTAGTGTCCTCTAGTGGCAACTTGCTGGAACTTAACTTTTGTTTTGTTAATCATTTAAAAGAGAACATTTTACTGTCATTGTCTCAATGACGTCGAAACAAATCATAATCTTTGTTTTTGTCCTCTTGGTAGTATTAATATTAAGGGTAAGGAGGGTTAGGGGAAACTACATATGTAAAGTTACAATTGTAAAAATTAATTAACATTAATTGCTGCTTTGTTTAAAACATTAAGAGCATCAACTAATTGCCCTAACATGAACTACTTTCATTTGAAAATACATATTTTCAGAAAAGGCACTTGAGCCTTTTCTCCCGCAGCAATGGATTGTGGGTAAATATCCTTCACCCATGTCCGTCCTCTGTGGCCAGAATATCACACTTGCAACTTCAGTGGTGGGTCGCCATCTGTCGGACTTAGAAAAAATGTAGCTGACATGTCTGCTTCCAGCACATTTCCTGCATGTTTTACATCAGGAACACAGCTGATTTATTTATTTAGGGATGAATCACTGTGGTAGAAACTAATGAAGGCTGAGGAGGCATTTCAGCAAAGAAGACAAACGCACAGAGAGGAGATAAGTGTCATTTTTGGTTTAACCACAGAGAATTAATAACGGACACAAATGGATGCTAAATGCAAGCAAACTGCCAAGTGTGCCTTTAAAAGACAAAATGAAAAATGCGTAAGATTAGAATAATAATAACTAAAATGTAAGATAACAAATTAAGGTAATAGAAACACATTTTCAGATCACTCCTAATGACAATAAAGCTTTAGAACCCTTCCAATAAATAATGTACATCTGATAAAGCAGTCCAACACATTTAACCCTGAATGTAATATTAGCAGACTATATTTACTGATAAAAATGGACTACCAATATATAAATGTACTGAAAATCTATTAGCTCTAAATCATGTTGTTTCTCTTTCATTCTATAAACCAAAGCACACTGGAGCTTTTGCATCATCCTATCGAACACCAAAATGGTTAAAACTGGACTTTCTCTGCCACACTAACTGTGTCATTTTTACTAATCCAATACTCTTAATGCCCCCTCGGTATTCGGTTTATGTCCCGGGTAGAATAAGAAAGAAGTTGGGCTACTGTCCCTGATTCAGAAGTTTTAATTTTATGAAGTACATTTAAAATTCACAAATTAAATAGCTGTGCAAATGACATTTGCTGCAATAAGTTTTTCCTCTCCACACTTTTAACGTCAGTATGCAGGGTCTTATTCTGTTGAGTCTTTCTTCCCAACGTTGTGCTGTTTTACAGAGTTGAGGAGGGATGTGATCCGGTTTGATGAAGATGAGAGAAATCACATCACACAGCTGCATGTCATCATGCTGTAATACGGAGGAACACACTCTGTACAGTGGAAACAACTTGCTGACGCTGCCATGCCTAATCCTCTTTTGTGGGCAGGAGAAACATGTATTTTGCCACTCATCATTAGCATAATAAGCCAGCACATGGCACTTTGTTGTTTTGCATAAGTAGTACACCCCAGTTTATGATTATAAAGAGGCCCTGGGGCTAACTAGCCTCTTTATTCAATTAATGAATAGTTCATGTATTTAAATTAGTCCTGCCTTTTCAGTTTGAATCAGTGTTTTGGGGATGACATGAAGAATTACAAATATGTATTTCCCCCCTTTTTTGTGTTGTTCTGCAAATTGAAATTATTAAAAAAAGGTGACATAAAATAATTAGATATGAATTTTTAACTAAATTAGATTTTTTTGTCAAAAGTCAAATGATAGTTTTAGGTTTCTGTTTTATTCTCACAAGGATTAAGACTTAAGCCTGTTTTTTTTAATTGCGTCGTCTTTTGGGATGTATCGAGTTTACTCTGAAACAATAATAACATGGCTGAGCTACTGCGGACATGAACATGTTGGAAAAAGGCGAAGAGTGGCTTTCAACATGAATATTTCACTGTGGAACAAGGAGGGGGAGGAGGGTCTGCAGCTACAAGGGTGTTCAGTTAACCATGAGATTACACACACTGCAGACTGCGTTTGGTTAATGTAATTAAGAAAACCCTATGGTGGGAGACACAGGGCATTAGTGTCCAGGGTATGCTACTGTTTTGTTATGGCCCCTCGCTGTCGTTGCTGTGATAATGTAATTTACAAATAATTCAGTTTTGTGCAGCAAAAGCTATTTAATTTGTTTAAGCATTCAAAATAAAATGCAGATAATGTAACGGTTGAAAGTAATTAACATAATGCATATCAGAATTTGGTTTTGTAGTCAAAATTGTATTTATTACACACACACACACACACACACACACACACACACACACACACACACACACACATATGTATATATATAACACTTGATTAAATGTGTGCAATCAGCCTCAAAACTGAAAATTTGGAAGACATTATTGCTAAAATAATCTTAATTTTGTGGTGGTGTGTCAAAACAATTGTTCTTAATGCAAAATGTAATTCTTCTCTTTTTACGTTGTTTCTTCCCTCATTTCAGAGCTGCAGAGACGACAAAAATGACAACTAAAAAGATTTTTGTCTTAAATAAACAATCGAGATACAAACACAAAGCTATGTGGATAAAAGTTAGGAAGCTATCTGTTATTTTTACTTGAGGTAAAAGAGGTAGTCACCTGAAACGGTTTTCCAACAGTCTTGAAGGTCTACCTCTTGAAGTTCATCAAGAGAATGCCAAGAGAGTACAAAGCAGTAATCAGAGCAAAGGGTGGCTTTGAAGAAAATAGAATATAAAACATGTCCTCCTCAACATGCTGGATTGCTGGGTGCTTGCATACATGGACGATGTTCTCATCTATTCCTGCTCAGAAACAGACCACATCCACCATGGAGAACCAACATTTATGCAAATTTGGAGAAGTGCAACACCAACAGTCCATCTCCTTCCTGGGGTTCATCATCTCCTCAAAGGACCCTGCCATAGATCTGCCAAAAGTTAAGGCCTCTTCCCACGAGCCTCAAACAGGTACAAGGTTTCCTGGGATTTTTCCATTTTTACCGTTGTTTTTTTCGACACTTCGGCCCAATCGTCACACCCCTGACATTCCTCAGCAATCCGGCCAACCAACCTTGACCATTCTGTCTCACCCAGGAGGAGATTCACCACATCACCCAGCGGTTCACCGATGTGCCCATCCTACAACACCTACACCTTACTAAGATCTTTGTGGTGGAGGTCAACACCTCAGAAACGGACGCCAGTGCCTTCCTGTCCCAGGAGGAAAAAATCCCTCCAGCTGTTTCTTGTGCAAGTTCACCCCCCATAGAAGTATGGGGATGGGTATAGAGGGCTGCTAGCCATTCAATGGGCGCTGGGGGAATGGAAATGAGACACTAAAAGGCATAATGAATTTAAAGTAAAATCCGGATTATGTCTTTTATCTGATGGCACCATTTAATGGCTGCCAAGCGTATCACACCATGACCTTGTTTCATTTCCGTATTTATGGCCGAAAGCAACGCTTCTTGTTAATGATTATACTCCTCTAGCCAAGAAAACAGAGCTTAGACACACTGTTTTACAATTATTATGCTCATGTTATGTTGTCTTTTCATATAGTTGTATTACTTGTCCATGAGTAAGGTCGCCAACTTTGCATCAACCAAGGAACGTCCTTAAACGTTATGTGATTGACATCTGCACATAAGCGGTAGTCTAACGCTATTGGTTAGTGCTGACTGGCGTTCAGTTCATATTGCATGGAGCTCTACGGGACAGCGGACGGGCTTAAGCAAAAAAAAAAAAAAAAAAAGATGTATTTCCTACATTATATCACATTATTTAATTTTGCAGCAAAGACTCCAAACCTCATAGTGCGTTACGGCATTATCACTTCTGTTGACAGGTCCCCCTCCTTTCTGTTTACATTCATTCGCATCCATGCTACTACTCAGCGTCTGCAGCGTTACCTCCTCAGTCTTGGACAAACGGAAAACACTCTTCTTACTCAGCGGCGAGTTTATTCAGCAGTTTGCTGACTTCGAAGCCCAGAAATAGATTTTAACCGCTCAGTAATCTGTTCTCGGCCGAAATAGAAACGCACCAACAAACTTCCAGACCGTCGTCGTCGTCTTCCTCCGCTTATCCGTGTCCGGGTCGCGGGGGCAGCATCCCAACTAGGGAGCTCCAGACCGCCCTCTCCCCGGCCACCTCCACCAGCTCTTCCGGCAGGACTCCAAGGCGTTCCCGGACCAGATTGGAGATGTAACCTTGTGACACGATCGAGGTGGATGGATGGTGCCACTAATATTAAAAGGAGATTAAAATAGGTTCTAAAAACAAAGCAAGCAGTGCAACCACAAAAGCAAATTAAAAAGGAATTTATTCCGAAAGCTCGCGGATGATGATGCCCAAAATGAACTCCTAAATAAAGTCTGTGCTGGGCCTCAGGGGACAACGCAGTCCAGTCGGGCCCTGAGTGAGCTCGACAGGGAAGCTTTTACGACCCCGCCCTCCTGCAGTGCGCGTTGTCCTCGGGGAACAACAGGATCGCCGCACGGTGGATCCAATCCCCTTCTTCCTCGGCCCGGCCCCTGTGGCCACACAAAAACTCCGGCAGTAAAAAGGTCCCCGGCACCAGACCACACACAGAGAGACAGCAAACTCCAAACACTGCCAGGCACTGCTCAATTACTTACGGCCAGGGGCAGAGTAACTCTGCCTGCTTGCCGTGTTGCGCTCCGTGCCCTGGCTTCTCCGGCCGCGGATCTCACTCTCCGCTGCTGCTGCTGTCCGTGCCGCTGGTGAACCCCCTCCTCGGTCCAAGAATCCTACCAGACTCAGTGGCACCTGTACGTGCGCCGCACATGTGTGGAGAGAGGGACACCTACGCTCCTCCGTACTCGGCCGCCGTCCATCCTCCAGGACCATACTCCGGGTGCTCCTCTGTTCCGGTGGGGGGGTTCAGGCACATGTGTCCTCAAGACACCGTCCGGGGTGCGTCTCTGCCTCTTAGCTGGCTCTGTCTGCCATCCTGGCTGTCTCTCTGGTCCACGTGTTCCTCCCTTTAAATAAAAACCTGTCCTGCCTGTGTCTGTTCATTAATTGTCAGTAAATGCAACACTCTGCCACAGGTGAAGATGATTGGGGTGATTAACACAGAATGAAACACAATGTTGCACCAAACAAACTAAAAACACGCCATCAATAAAAACATGCACATCAGAATAAAAACAAGTAAAACATGCAATATAGAATATGAAATAAGTGCAACATTACCACTCTGTGACAACCTCTCCAACGTGTCCTGGGTCGATCCGGGGGCCTCCTGCCAGCAGGACATGCCCGAAACACCTCCCCAGGGAGGCAACCAGGAGGCATCCTGACCAGATGCCCAAACCACGTCAACTGACGCCTTTCGATCCGGAGGAGCAGCGGTTCTACTCCAAGTCCCTCCCGAATGTCCGAGCTCCTCACCCGATCTCTAAGGCTGAGCCCGGCCACCCTACGGAGGAAACTCATTTCGGCCGCTTGTATCCGCGATCTCGTTCTTTCGGTCATTACCCAAAGCTCATGACCATAGGTGAGGATTGGGACGTAGATCGACCGGTAAATCGAGAGCCTGGCTTTCTGGCTCAGCTCCCTCTTCACCATGACAGATCGGCTCAACGTCCACAGCACTGCAGACGCCAAACCAATGCGCCTGTCGATCTCCTGATCCCTCCTATCCTCACTCATGAACAAGACCCCGAGATACTTAAACTCCTCCACTTGAGGAAGGACCTCTCTCCCGACCCAGAGTTGGCAAGCCACCCTTTTCTGGTCGAGAACCATGGTCTCAGATTTGGAGGTGCTGATCCTCATCCCAGCCACTTCACACTTGGCCACGGACCTACCCAATAAGAGCTGAAGGTCAGAGCTGGATGAAGCTAGGAGGACCACATCATCCGCAAAATGCAGAGATGAGATTCTCCTGCCACCAAACTTGACACACTCCACACCACGGCTGCACCTAGAAATTCTGTCCATAAAGGTAATGAACAGAACCGGTGACAAAGGGCAGCCCTGGCGGAGTCCAACCCTCACCGGGAACAGGTCCGACCAAACTCACGCTCCTCTGGTAAAGGGACTGAATGGCCCTTAACAGAAAGCCACTCACCCCATACTCTTGGAACATCCCCTACAGGGTGCCCCTGGGGACACGGTCATAAGCCTTCTCCAAATCAACAAAACACATGTGGATTGGTTGGGCAATCGCCCATTGCCCCTCCATCACCCTTGCAAGGGTATAGAGCTGGTCCACAGTTCCACGGCCAGGACAAAAACCACATTGCTCCTCCTCAATCTGAGATTCAACTATCGATCGGACCCTCCTCTCCAATACCTTGGAGAAGACCTTTCCAGGGAGGCTGAGGAGTGTGATCCCCCTATATTTGGAACACACCTTCAGGTCACCCTTCTTAAAGATGGGGACCACCACCCCGGTCTGCCACTCCACAGGAACTGCCCCCGATGTGTCAACCATGACAGCCCTACAACATCCATAGCCTTGAGATACCCAGGACGAATCTCAATCAATCAATCAATCAATCAACCAATCAATCAATCAATCAAAGATACTTTATTAATCCCAGAGGGAAATTGGAGTTTCAGTATACACAATTCAGAGATCAGACATACATGGGCAAGACACATGACAAGAATTGGTGACTATGGTCATTTGCAACCCTGAGTTGCGCTACCTTAAAAGAATTAAGAGGGTTACATGAGGATTGATTCAGGTGGAGGGAACAAAAAGCACTTCAGAGCTACCCTCCACCAGGAGGGCAGCTTTGCTCTGCAAAAACCCCCACCTCAGACAGATATGCAACAGACTTCAGACAACACAACATAAGTGTCCACTAGGTGGGATGGTGGGTTGGGACTATCCGCACTTCAGTTCCTGCAGCCACGATAAGCAGCACATGTCACCTCAGTGTAGATAGGGGGAGGAGCATTGAGGGATGGAGGGTTGCATTGACCCTGGAATGATTCAGCGGTCTTCCCGCAGTCCCACCCAGGCTGGGAAAGGAGACAAAGTTGAGTTGCCATAGCAACGGCACATTAAACATATGTTCGGAGGGGGGAGTTTTCGTTGGAGCCTTGCAGGCTCAAGGGCGCCATATTCCGATTAGAAATTGTTTTGGGGCCAGACAGAGATACTTTCCTCTCTGTCTTACAGTTTGTTGGTCCTCAACCTCTCAAAATCCCAATAATGGACATTAATCTATCCCAATCCGTGCTGATCCGTCCACTCTCTCCTTGATGGCATCCATCTTTTGTGCCAATGAATGAATCTCGGCCAGAGTCCCAAGCTTACGATTCATCTCGACAATTATGTGAGTCTGTGAATTCACAGCGCAGTGCAAACCATCTCCGAGCTCCGGGATCAGGCCAATATTCCTCGACAGCTCGTTAATTTTCCGGTAAGCCAGGTAGCCTCCAAGGCCAATGAGCAGGAAACCTGACACCAACACCATGAATATCCACACATCTTCAGAGTCCTCCACAGACAGCTGAGATAAACAAATCAAGTTCCACTGTTTCCAGGAGTCCATAATGTGTCCAACTGGATCTGTCCCGGCGGGGCATCCGGGAGCCCCTTCTCCCATTCTCATAGTTGAAAATTTTTTATCAATCCCGTTGAGAGACCAACTGATGAGATCCATTTGAGTGAATTTCAGTTTCCAGAAAAATGCAGAAGCAGCCGTGCACCCAGCACATATGGACAGACAAAGGGCCTTGAGGATAAGATATGGAGGAGAGGAGGAAAAAAGCGTCTGCACCCTCCAAGAGCCTGAAGGGGGAAAAAAAGTAAAAAAGTGTAGTTGCTTGACTAACTCAGCAACTTCTGCACCCGAGATTGGACAGTCCATCCCCAGGTATCCCGGCTCTGGTTCCTCCTTGGAATGCGCATAGGTGGGATTGAGGAGCTCTTCAAAGTATTCCTTCCACCGTCCGTCTATATTCCCAATTGATGTCAGCAGCTCCCCATCCTCGCTGTAAATAGTGTGATCGAGTTGCTGCCTTCCTCTCCTGAGGCACCGGACAGTTTGCCAGAACCTCTTTGGAGCCGATCGATAGTCTTTCTCCATGGCCTCATCAAACTCCTCCCACGCCCGAGATTTTGCCTTGGCAACTGTCACTGCTGCACCCCGCTTGGCTATCCGGTAACTGTCTGCTGCCTCCGGAGACCCACAGACCAGCCATGCCCTGCAGGCCGCCTTCTACAGCCTGACGGCTCCCCGAACCTCTGGGTTTCCACCAGCGGGTATGGAGGTTGCCACCCCGACTGGCACCGGCCACCTTGCGACCACAGCTAGCAACAGCCGCCTCAAAAATTGCAGAGTGGAACAAGGCCCACTTGGAGTCAATGTCCCCCACTGCTCTCGGGACACGGTCAAAGCTCTGCCGGAGGAGGGAGTTGAAGACTGCCTTGACAGGTTCTTCTGCCAGGCGTTCCCAGCAGACCCTCACTATGCGTTTGGGTCTGCCAAGCCTATGCGGAATCTTCCCCTGCCATCTGATCCAACTCACCACCAGGTGGTGATCAGTTGACAGCTTCGCTCCTCTCTTCACCCTGGTGTCCAAAACATACGGCCGCAGGTCAGATGATACGACTACAAAGTCTATCATCAACCTGCGACCTTGGCTGCCCTGGTACCAAGTGTACCGATGGGCATCCTTATGTTCAAACAGGATGTTCGTTATGGCCAAACTGTGGCTTGCACAGAAGTCCAATAACAAAACACCACTCGAGTTCAGATCAGACAGGCCGTTCCTCCCAATCATACCCCTCCAGGTCATGCTGTCATTGCCCACGTGAGCATTGAAGTCCCCCAGCAGGACAATGGAGTCCCCTGATGGAGCACTATCTGGCACTCGTCCCAGGGACTCCAAAATGGGTGGGTACTCTGAACTGATATTTGGCCCATAATCACAAACAACAGTCAGGACCCGTTCCCCGACCCAAAGGTGCAGGGATGCTACCCTCTCGTCCCCCGGGGTAAAACCCAACACACAGGCAGAGAGTCTTGGGGCTAGGAAAAAGCCAACCCCAGCCCTCCGCCTCTCACCCGGAGCAACTCCAGCAAAGGAGAGTGTCCAACCCCTCTCAAGGACTTGGGTTCCAGAGCCAATGCTATGTGTCGAGGTGAGTCCGACTATATCTAGCAGTACCGCTCAACCTCTGCCACAAGCTCCTGCTCCTTCCCCGCCAGCGAGGTAGCGAGGTGACGTTCCATGTCCCAAAAACCAGTTTCCTTGTCTGGGGATCGGACCGCCAAGGCTCCCGCCTCGGTCTGCCACCCGATCCACACTGCACCAGACCCTTCATGTTCCTCCTGCGGGTGGTGGGTCCACAGTTCGATGAGCCCATGTATCCGGTTCGGGCTGTGCCCGGCCAGGCCCCATGGGCGAAAGCCCGGCCACCAGGTGCTCGCCCACGGGCCCCAACCACAGGCCTGGCTCCAGGGTGGGACCCCGGTAACTCTCCAGGCCGGATACTCCGACTCTTCGATTGTACATCCATGAAAGATCCTCTGAACCGTTCTTTGTCTCACCCTTCACCTAAGACCAATTTGTCATCGGAGACCCTACCAGGGGCACAAAGTGCCCCAGACAATCTAGCTCCTAGGATCATTAGGGCACTCAAACTCCTCCACCACGATAAGGTGACGGTTCGAGGAGGAGACTTCCAGACCAAGATGATTTAACTCCAGTTTATCAACACGCTGAAGTCAGTATGACTCTGTGACTGCTGCATTTTTTATCTTTCCTCCCGGACACAGTGACCAAACTGTGTGGTCAAGCTGCTCCGATTCTCTCTATGTTTAACAGCACAACCTTATGTGAGCAACTGTTGTCTGTGATGAAGATGAACAGAACGACAC